GAATGGATGCAGCAAACTATCATGGCATATGTATACCTATGTAACAAACCTGCCCAATCTGCACATGTACCCCAGAACTTAAATTTAAAAAAAAAAGAAAAAAAAAAGACAAAGCAGGTCATTATATAATGATAAAAGGCCTTGTCCAACAGAAAAATATCACAATCCTAAATATATATGCACCTAACATTGGAGTGCCTAAATTTATAAAACAATTACTAATAGACCTATGAAATGAGGTAGCAACACAATAATAGTAGGAGACTTCAATACTCCACTGACAGCACTAGGTGTATCAAGACAGAAGGTCAACAAACAATGGATTTAAACTATATCCTGGTACAAATGGACTTAACAGATTTACAGAACGTTCTACCCAACAACCACAGAATATACATTCTATTCAACAGTGCATTGGACTTTCTCCAAGGTAGATTGTATGACAGGCCAATAAATTCAAAAAAATTGAAATTATATCAAGTACTCTCTCAGACCACAGTGGAAAACTGGAAAGCAATTCCACAAGGAACCTTCAAAACCATGCAAGTACATGGAAATTAAACAACTTGCTCTTGAATTATCATTGGGTCAAAAATTAAATCATGATTGAAATTTAAAAATTCTTCAAACTGAATGACAACAGTGACACAGCCTATCAACTAGCAAAGACGGCGCTAAGAGGAAAGTTCATAGTCCTAAATGCTTACATCAAAGTCTGAAAGAGCACAAACACACAATATAAGGTCATACATACATCAAGGAACTAGAGAAACAAGAATAAACCAAACCCGAACCCAGCAGAAGAAAGGAAATAACCAAGATCAGAGCAGAACTAAATGAAATTGAAACAAACAAAAAAAATCAAAAATAAATGAAACAAAAAGCTGAACCTTTGAAAAGATAAATAAAACTGACAGACCATTTGAAAGATTAGCCAAGAAAAGAGAAAATCCAAATAAGCTCTATTAGAAATGAAACCGGAAATACTACACTGACACCACAGAAATACAAAAGATCATTCAGAACACCTTTATGTATATAAACTGGAAAACCTAGAGGAGATGGACAAATTCCTGGAAAGATACCACTTTCCAAGCTTAAAACAGGAACAATTAGATATTCTAAACAGACGAATAACAAGCAAGTGAGATTGAAAATGGTAATAAAATTAACAAAAAATAAGTTAAGTATCAGACAGATTCATAGGAGAATCCTACCAGACATTCAAAGAACTGGTATTAATCCTACTGACACCATTCTACAAGATAAAGAGAGAACTATCCCTAAATCATTCTATGACACCAGTATCACTCTAATACCAAACCTAGGAAAAAACATAACCAAAAAAGGAAAACTACAGACCAATATCCCTGATGAAGATAGATGCCAAAATCCTCAACAAAACACTAGCTAACTGAATCCAACAACATATCAAAAAGATAATCCACCATGATCAAGTGGGTTTCATACCAGCGATGCAGGGATGATTAAAATATACAAGTCAATAAATGTGATATACCACATAAACGGAATCAAAAACAAAAATCACATGATCATCTCAATAGACAAAGAAAAAGCATTCAACAATATCCAGCATTCCATTCTGATTAAAACTCTCAGCAAAATTGGCATACGAGGGACATACCTCAATGTAATAAAAGCCATCTATAACAAACCCACAGCCAACAATAATGTGGAAAAGCAGAAAGCATTTCCTCTGAGAACTGGAACAAGACAAGAATGCCTACTCTCACCACTCCTCTTCAACCCAGTAATGGAAGTCTCAGTCAGAGCAATCAGACAAGAGAAAGAAATAAAGGCATCCAAATTGGTAAAGAGGAAGTCAAACCGTCGCTGATTGCTGATGACATGACTGTTTATCTAGAAAACCCTAAAGACTCATCCAGAAAGCTCCTAGAAGTGACAACAGAATTCAACAAAGTTTCCAGATACAGAATCAATGCATACAAATCAATAGCTCTTCTATATACCAACAGTGACCAAGCTGAGAATCAAGTCCAGAATTCAACGCCTTTTACAACTGCTGGAAAGATAAAACAAAACACTGAGGAATATACCTAATCAAGGAGCTGAAAGACCACTACAAGGAAAACTACAAAACACTGCTGAAAGAAACCATGGATGACACAAATGAATGGAAATACATCTCATGTTCATGGATGGGTAGAATCAATATTGTGAAAATGACCATATTGCCAAAAGCAATCTACAAATTCAACACAATTCCCATCATAATACCACCATCATTCTTCACAGAACTAGAAAAAACAATCTTAAAATTCATATGGAACCAAAAAAGAGCCCACATAGCCAAAGCAAGATTAATCAAAAAGAACAAATCTGGGCCGGGCGCGGTGGCTCAAGCCTGTAATCCCAGCACTTTGGGAGGCTGAGGCGAGTGGATCACGAGGTCAAGAGATCGAGACCATCCTGGTCAACATGGTGAAACCCCGTCTCTACTAAAAATACAAAAAATTAGCTGGGCATGGTGGCGTGTGCCTGTAATCCCAGCTACTCAGGAGGCTGAGGCAGGAGAATTGCCTGAACCCAGGAGGCGGAGGTTGCGGTGAGCCGAGAGCGCGCCATTGCACTCCAGCCTGGGCAACAAGAGCAAAACTCCGTCTCAAAAAAAAAAAGAACAAATCTGGAGGCATCACATTACCTGATTTCAAACTATACTGTTAAGGCCATAGTCACCAAAACAGGATGGTACTGGCATAAAATTTGGCACAGAGACCAATGGAAAAGAACAGAGAATCCAGAGATAAACGCTGGATACTTAAAGCCAACTGATCTTTGACAAAGCAAACAAAAACATCAAGTGCAGAAAGGATATCCTATTCAACAAATGGTGCTGAGATGATTGGCAAGCCACCTGTAGAAGAATGAAATTAGATCCTCATCTTTCACCTTATACAGAATCAACTCAAGATAGATCAAAGACTTAAATCTAAGACCTGAAACTATAAAAAATTCTAGAAGACAACATTGGAAAATCCTTCTAGACACTGGCTTAGGCAAGAATTTCATGACAAGAACCCCAAAGTAAATGCAATAAAAACAAAGATAAATGGCTGATAATTAATTAAACTAAAGAGCTTTTGCATAGCAAAAGGAATGGTCAGCAGAGTAAACAGACAATCCACATTGTGGGAGAAAATCTGCAAAATCTATACATTTGACAAAGGACTAACATCCAGAATCTAAAATGAAGTGAAGCAAATTAGCAAGAAAAAAGCAACAACAATCCCATCAAAAAGCAGGCTAAGGACATGAATAAATAATTACAAAAGAAGATATACAAATGGTCAATAAACATACCAAAAAATGCTCAACATCACTAATGATCAGGGAAATGCAAATCAAAACCACATTGTGATATCACCTTATTCCCCCAAGAATGGCCATAATCAAAAAACAAAAAAAATAATAGATGTTGGTATGGAAGCAGTGAACAGAGAACACTTCTACGCTGCTGGCAGGAATATAAACTAGTACAACCACTATGGAAAAGTGTGGAGATCCTTAAAGAACTAAAAGGAACTTGGTCCAGGAATCCCACTACTGGATATCTACCCAGAGAAAAATAAGTCATATATGAAAAAGATACTTGCACACATGTTTATAGCAGCACAATCTGCAATTGCAAAAACATGGGACTAACCCAAATGCCCATCAATCAATGAGTGGACAAAGAAACTGTGGTACATATATATACAATGGAATACTACTCAGCCATAAAAAGGGACGAATTAATGGCATTTGCAGCAACCTGGATGAGACAGGAGATATTACTGAAACTCAGGAATGGAAAACCAAATAACACATGTTCTCACTCATATGTGGGAGTTAAGCTATGAAAATGCAAAGGCATAAGAAAGACAAAATAGACTGTGGGGACTCAAGAACGGGTGGGAAGGGGGTAAGGAATAAAAGACCACAAATTGGGTACAGTGTATACTGCTTGGGTGATGGGTGCACCAAAACCTCACAAATCACCACCAAAGATTTTATTCAGGTAACCAAACACCACTTGTTACCCAATAACCTATGGAAATAAAAAAACTTAATAATAAAAATAATAATTTTGTTTCATTTAATGGAAACTGTGTACTGATGTACAACTTACCATTTAGGGTTGAGTGTCTGGAATCAATTTCTTGAGTTACCAAAAGCTTCAAAGAATAAATAAGTTGTACATCAGTACACAGTTTCCATTAAATGAAACAAAATTTATGAAACTCTATTATTCATTTATTCAACAATTATCAAAAACCAGATATTCTGCAATATAAGGCAATATGCCAAGCCTAGAAAGCTGATATAAGGCATACTATCTAACCATAAGGAACCTACATTAAGCACACCTAATCGATCATTAACTCTCTTACTAACAGGCCTCACTCCTTTTCCCTATGTCTTTGCTGAGATGGCAGCACAGACATTCTCAGTTAAAGTCCATTCCTTGGATCTGTATTTGCCCACTATTAAATCAGGTTGCATAGGACAGTTAACATAAAAAGGTTCTGGATATTAAAGAGCATTCCATCCATGAGGAGTAAACTATATAGTTTCAATAACACAGGGATCCTTAATCTCTCATTAGACTGTAAGACTGGGTCTTATCTGCCAAATTTTTATCTCCGGTATTTAACTGGAGTAACTGGCACAGGGTAGGCACTCACAAATGCTTGCTGAATGACTGACTTGAACCAAAAAGGTCGCTAGATTAACTGTGTAGCCACAAGTACTTAATATATAGGCTCTCTACTTTCTGTTAAAGACAGTTCAATGAAGACAATTCAAAGTGAATGCTTCTAAGCACTCTTGAAACTCCTCGTTTGTTAACTTAATCCTGGAGACACAAACATAGTAATCTGAAATTTTATGTGATTTTCTACATTTTTTGTATGACATAGTTTCACAAATAGCTACAGCTCAAAATTTGAATAATAAGCATGCATAGCACAGTACAATACCTTTCAGTTTAATTGCCACATCAATATAGGATTGTAAAAATGCCATGGATACTGCTTGCCCTAAATGAAAATTAAAAATTCAACAGATATTACATGAGTATCTCCAAAGCATCCAAACTGATATATAACAGATATACAGATTTATGTTTCCCCAAATTATTTTTAATCAGAAAATTCTATTATACATTTCTCAACATAGTCCAAACACTTAAAAGACTTCCAAATGCAACTGCTTTTCTGTACTTGTACTGCAAGCAATATAGCTAAATGGTTATGATTTGAAGATTAAAGCAATATACTTACTATAAATCTATAATAATTAATATATTAAAAATCATTAGTGTGAGCCACAATTTTTTCAGAATTAATGAATATCTAGTTTAATCATTAACCTTTAATTTGTAAATCAGATATAAACTAATTGCACAATCCCAGAATCAGAAGTAAATGCTTCAGTGTACACAATGTACTGGAGACATATGGAAGCAATTTCCTTTTACAACATGCAATATATGGAATGCCAAAAATTAAATGTGTGTGTTTTTAAATGTCCTAATATGTAATAGTCTCCTCTAAAGGCTCATACTCACAATCAACATAGAAGAGTACTATGTTGTCAGAAGCCATCACTGTTGCATTAAATGTTTCTTCTGTTAGTTCCACTGTCAGTTCCAAAGGTAATTTCCTCTTCCTATCTCTGTAAACAGTTTCTGCCACTTCATCATCCTGAGTATCTAAAATGTTGAAAAAGAATTAATTTAAATATTGATGTACAATGAAAAATATTTAAACTCTTCCCATAAGAGGCATATAAGAATTCACTACTTTATATAAACTTTTGAATTCATTCTATCTTAATACTTAGGAGGCATAATATTTAGAAAACTTTCCAGTTCCTTAACTGACTCTGAGATGCTTCCTGACCTAGAAGTTGTGAAGTTCTGGTCCATTTCAAAATTAAAACTTGTTCTAGAAAGAATATTAATAGTGTTATTTTGTTTACTTTGCCTCTACTGTAGGCCAAGCATTGTGGTAGACACTAGGAAAACTGGTAAACAGACATAGTCCTGACCAAATGAAACTTCTATCTATGGAAAAGTCTGATAAACTGATCACTGAATCAATACATAATTACAAATTATGACCAGTTTATGAGAAAGGTAAAGGATACACTGAGAGACTATAAAAGCGCTACTTAGATTGGGAAACCCAAAATCTGCCAGGTACAGAATCAAGAAAAGAATGTTTTAGACAAAGAGAGTAACATGTGAAAGCTCTGAGACATAGAAGAGTTTAGCACATACAAGGCTGAGAGAAAGCAAATTTGACTAAGACAAGGTGGGGTTGAAAAAATAAACAGCACGAGAAAACTCTAGACTAGGCAATGGCTAAATCAAAAGAGGTCACATAAGCCAAGAAGTCTGGATTTTATCCAAAAAGCATCAAGTTATGAGTGGATTCTGTGAAAACATTTCCTTAATTTAGATAGACCAATCAATAGATTGATAGATCCATCCATCCATCCATCCATGTATGTGGTAATAACATACTTGAATTCATAAACATTCTGTTAGAAGTTTGTAGAGATTGTATGGTAACACAGATGGAGCATATAACTTGATTAAAGGATAAAGCTTCTTAGAAGAGTTGATACTAGGTGAATATGAAAAGAAAAATAAAACTCAGGCAGAGAAGAAAGGCAGTGGTGGCATAAAGAGCAAAGGGAACAGCATTAGCAAAGGCACGGTGGCATGAAAGAGCCTGGTGCAATCAGAAGATCAAACACTGGATATATGATGATATTAAGAATTGTTAATTTTTTAGATGTAATAATAGTATTAATTATGTTATGTTAAAAAGGAGGCCAGGTGGGGTGGCTCATGCCTATAATCCCAGCACTTTGGGAGGCCGAGGCAGGTGGATCACGAGGTCAAGAGATTGAGAGTATCCTGGCCAACGTGGTGAAACCCCGTCTCTACTAAAAATAAAAAAATTAGCTGGGTGTAGTGGTGCAGGCCTGTAGTCACAGTTACTTGGGAGGCTGAGGCAGGAGAATCTCTTGAACCTGGGAGGCAGAAGTTGCAATGAGCCGAGATTGTACCACTGTACTCCACCCTGGGTGACAGAGTGAGACTCTGTCTAAACAAAAACAAAAACAAAAACAATAAAAAGAAAATCTTTATATTTCTGAAACCCAGCAAAATACTTATAGATGAAATCATATGTTTGGGATTTGCTACAAAACAATAAGAGGTGGGGAGTGACTGCAGCAGGATTAGCCATGGTTTGATAATGGCCGGGGCCAACTAATGGGTAACAAGAATTTGTTCTATTAGTCTGTCTACTTTATGGTATGTTCATAATTCTCTGTAACAACACATTAAAAAGAAAGAAGGGAGAAAGAAGACAATACAGTCATAGAATTATTGTTTTATATATAATTTCTAATACAGTCATGTACCACATAATGATACTTCAGTCAACAATGGACCACATATACAACTGTAGTCCCTTAAGATTAAGGGAGAAATTCCTATCATCTGATGATGTACTAGCCATTGCAATGTTGTAGCACAACGCATTACTCACATGTCTGTGGTGATACTGGTGTAAATAAACCTACCGTGAGTCATATGAAAGTATAGTACAATAAGGCCATGCACGATGGCTCACACCTGTAATCCCAGCACGCTGGGAGGCCAAGGCAGACGGATCACTTGAGGTCAGGAGTTCGAGGCTAGCCTGACAAACATGGTGAAATCCCATCTCTACTAAAAAATACAAAAAATTAGCTCAGGCTGTTGGTGCATAATTGTAATCCTAGCTACTTGGGATGCTGAGGCAGGAGAACTGCTTAAACCCAGGAGGCAGAGATTGCAGTGAGCCAAGATCACACCATTGCACTCCAGTCTGGGCAACAAGAGTGTAAATCTGTCTCAACAACAAAAAAGTATAGCACATACAATTATGTACAGTAAATAATACTTGATAATAAAGGACTAGATTATTGGTTTATACATTTACTATACTCTTATCATTAGAGTATTCTCCTTCCATTTATAAAATAAAAAGTTCACTGTAAAACAGCCTCAGGTAGGTCCTTCTAAAAGAAGGCATTATTATCATAGGAAATGACAGCTCCATGCTTGTAATGCCCCTGAAGACCTTCCAAACGGACAAGATGTGGAAGTGGAAGAGAATAACATGGATAATCTTGACCATGTATAAGCCTAGGCTAATGTGTGTGTTTGTGTTTTAGTTTTTACAAAAAAGTTTAAAATGTAAAACATAAAAGTTTTAAATGGAAAAAAGGTTATAGAATAAGTACATAAAAAAGAATATTTTTGTATAGCTGTACAATGTGTTTGTGCTTTAAGTTAAATGTCATTACAAAACAGTCAAAACGTTTTTAAAAACTATAAAAATGTATAAAGTGAAAAAGTTACAGTAAGCTAAGATAAATTTATTATTGAAGAAATAAAAGTTTTATAAATTTAGTGCAGCCTAAGTGTACAGTATCTATAAAGTCTACAATAATGTAATATCCTAGGCCTTCATACTCATTCAGTGACTCACCCAGAGCAACTTACAGTCTCGCAAGCTCCATTCATGGTAAGTACCCTACACAGGTATACCATTTTTTATCTTTTATACCATGTTTTTACTGTACCTCTTCTATGTTTACACATGTTTAGATACATAAATATCTACCATTGTGTTACAAGTACCTACAGTATTCAATACAGTAACATGCTGTACAGGTTTGTGGCCTAGGAGCAATAGGCTATACCATATTCCCTAGGTGTGTAGTAGGCTACACCATGTAGGTCTGTGTAAGTGAACTTTACGACGTTTGCTCAATGAAATCATCTAACAATCCATTTCTCAGAAAGTATTCCCATCATCGAGACAAAGGATCATACTATAAATTAAAATTCTATTTCTGGATTTCAATATAACCTCAGCCATTTTCTAACTGTATGACTCTAGTCAATCACATAACTCTCTGGGCCTCAGTGTTCAACTCTTGTCAAGCATGGGAGTTACACTACATAACTTTAAGGTACTTTCAAGCACTAAATCGCATGACACTAAAAAGTTACATTCTCAATTCTCAATACCAAAATTAGTAAAGATCTATTTTCTTATTTACTGCATTTTTTTCTTATTCATGTATTTTCATTTTCCTGTCAGTCTTCTCTTTCTTTTTCCTCCCTCTTTTCTTATACTTTAATAAGCTACCATCACTTGTAAATTTAGTCATTCCTCAGCTCTACTTACCACCTATTCATTAATAACATACATACTATTTTCAGTCACACAGGCAGCTTTTTTTTTTTTTTTTTTTTAGAAAGAATCTCACTCTGTTGCCCAGGCTGGAGTACAGTGGCATGATCTCAGCTCACTGCAACCTCCACCTCTTGGGCTCAAGCAATCCTCCCACTTCAGCCCCTGCAAAGACCTGGGACTATAGGCACGCATCACCATGCCTGGCTAATATCTGTATTTTGTGTAGAGATGGGATTCTGTCATGTTGCCCAGGCTGAACACATGCTTCTTTTCTTTTTTTCAGATTGCCCTTTTGCGGAATTTAGTCTTTTTCATTCTGAACGTTTTGCCGATTTTTCTCTGGGGACACCTGTCTCTGATTTACATTCACAGATGGTAATAAATTCTTTCCTAACCCTCATCTAGTTTTCCTTTGCAAACCGGAGTGATACAAACCAAGGGAGAAGAATTATGTAGACAGGCACAACATCATACAACATTCTGGACCAACATGGATTACTGACAACAGGAAGATGAAAAACAAACAAAAAAGGCAAAACTGTAAAAGAAATACTAGAAGCAGGCTGGAGGTTATCGAATGTTCCCAACATAAAGAAATTATAAATGTTTGAAATGATGGATACGCTAATTACCCTGACCTGATTACTATACATTATACGCATTGAAACATCACTATGTACCCCACAAATAGGTACAATTATTATTGGCCAATTAAAAAATCAAAAATAAAAACTGTAAAGAGAAGGCAGAATCAGAGGGTAAATAAGGCCACAGAGAGTCAGGAAACAATATAGGGACTGAGGCCACAAAGAAATCTTCAAACAGGCAACTCCCACTGAAGACAGGAATCAAATAAACTGAGATTGGGGCAAGTCCTCTAATTCCAAAGGTTCATATATAGGGACCATTACAGGAATAAAGCAGGAAGCAAGAGACCAGAACACAGACCTACTTATGTAATGGCAAGCCCACTGAGGACTCCAGGGAGGAACACAAGCAATTCTAACCCCTGCATATCGGAAAAGAACTAGAGCTCAGTACAAACCAAGAAACTGGTCACTGGTAACAGTGAAAGCTCTTATTAAATGTACAATATAGATTTTGATCACTATGCATGGACCTCATGAAAATGCTAAGTAAATTGCTTCCTTCTTGGAGCTCATAATGGTACTATATAAAACATTCAAGTATTTATTATATGGTATACAAAAATGAACAAGACATAATCCTTGATTTATAAATAATTCTAGACTAGTGGAGAAGAGAAAAAAGTAAATTAGTAATTACAGAAGAGGATTAATGTTATGAAAGAAGTATCAGGAACAATTATTTCACTATTGCCAAACTGTCACACTTTAAAAATATAAAATTTTAGGCCACCAGATTATTTTAGCGAAGTATTCTTGACTGTAACTAATAAAGAAGATTTTATTTCAGGATGCTTAAGTTCTAGCCCAGGCCCCACCACCAGACACTTGTAGGACTTTGGGCTGATCACTTAACTCAGGAAATGCATACTCTTCATGTATTAAATGAAGGTGATATCAGCTAACTCAGAGAATAACAATTAAAGTAAATAATATGTGGGGAAAAGCCTTGAAAACTATACAATACTTCATAAATGTAAGCAATAAGAGAAATTTTTTAAAAACTGAAATAACTGTCTAAAAGAAGTGTTAAAATGTTATTAAAATTTACTCTTTATACCATTAACAACTGGATGTATTTGCAAGTACAAATATAACAATATTTATTAAAACTCCATTTCCTAATAAAAATAATAACAATAAAATATCATGTGGTAATTTTTTTTTTTTTTTTGAGACGGAGTTTCGCTCTTTTCACCCAGGCTGGAGTGCAATGGCGCGATCTCGGCTCACCACAACCTCCGCCTCCTGGGTTCAGGCAATTCTCCTGCCTCAGCCTCCTGAGTAGCTGGGATTACAGGCACGCGCCACCATGCCCAGCTAATTTTTTTATTTTTAGTAGAGACGGGGTTTCACCATGTTGACCAGGATGGTCTCGATCTCTCGACCTCATGATCCACTCGCCTCGGCCTCCCAAAGTGCTGGGATTACAGGCTTGAGCCACCGCGCCCGGCCATGTTGTAATTTTTAAGTAGAGTTTTTAAACACGGACTAGTCCAGAAGGGCTGAAATACTGATACGGAGAATGAAGGCACAGATGTGGGAAGTTTGAAGCCTGATATGTAACAGTAAATGCCAATAACTAAACAAAATATAGCATCCTTACATCTTTTCAACAAATCAACTTGATAAAATGTGATTCAAAATAAATACCACCAAGTTTCTTTACAGAATCTTAAATCCAAATACATTCTTTGAGAAAGTTAATTCATTGGAAATTTCACTGACATTATGGGTGTTGAGCAGGATGGGGATGGGGTGAGAATCATAATACATTACCTATATCTGGACCTTCCACATCATCGTCTTCATCTTCCTGTATTTCCTCAATGTGCATATTATTTTCCACATGGGATATTATTAAATCAACATCATGCAATACCAAAAATTCCACTGGAACTCCCTAGAAATACATTAATTTTTTTTAAAAAAATGAATATAGCAAAGTATTTTGACACAAAAATGTTTTACTTGGGCCAGGCACGGTGGCTCACACTTGTAATTCCAGCACTTTGGAAGGCACAGACAGGTGGATCACCTGAGGTCAGGAGTTTGAGATCAGCCTGGCCAACATAATGAAACCCCATCTCTACCAAAAACACAAAAATTAGCTGGGCATGGTGGCACATGCCTGTAATCCCAGCTACTCAGGAGGCTGAAACAGAAGAATCATCTGAACTCAGGAAGTGGAGGTTGCAGTGAGCCAAGATTGTGCCATTGCACTCCAGCCTAGGCAACAGAGCCAAACCCTGTCTCAAAAAGAAAAAAAAAAAAAAGTTTTACTTGGTTAACATTAAAATAAAACTAAACCTTTGAGTTTCAATTCTAAAATTAAGGAAAATGAAAAAGGAAATTAACTCCACAATTAGTATGAAAAGAAAAGCATCCAAAGCATACCTTTCTATCTATAAAGATAATGAGTACACTGAAAAGGGTGGCAACAAAAGGAGTGAAAAGCCTCACTTGCTTCTTGTCACAACCACATTATACTGAAGTCTGTAGAACATTTCACATATAACAGCTAGTTCTACCTCTTTATAAAATGGAAATATATACAATTTTACTACAAATAGAGGAAATCAAAATTGATTATCCTGACATTACACAAAAATATTCAAAACAATACTTCATCTAAATTAATTCCACTAATAAGTTCAATTTCCTGTTTAGCTATAAACAACATTAAATTACTATCTGCTACCAGTTGTTTTAATAATATTCTATTCTATTCTATTGAGATCAATATTAATTAATATTAAAGATATTACTTAAGATTTCTTTCACTATTGCCCAACTGTGTCTTTAAAAATACAAAATTTTAGGCCCTAGATTATTTTAGCAAAGTATTCTTGACTGTAACTACATATTGGAATAAAGGTATGAGCTCCAAGTATGTTTGTTCTTTGCTATGACATATCTTCACCTTTTTAACATTATATTCAAAATAAGCAATTTTGATTCCTACAGAAACATAATAAACTTAAGAAGTACAGGAATCAAAATCAATCAAACTTAACTTGTTCCAAAGATTCACAGAAATTTTTGTAGTAAACTTTTTAATTAAAGCATAACATTCATACAGAAAATAACAAAAATGTTAAGTAAGTATAGAGTTTGATGGACTTTTACAAAGTAGACATATCTGTATAACTGCCACACAGATTAAGATAACAGAACATCATCAGCACACCCAGGAGCCATCTTCTTGCTCTTCCTGTCATTAACGTCCCCTAAAAGTAATCATTATTCTGTCTTTCATCAATGCTCTGGCTTGAATTCTGTTTCATCTTGTTAATTTTTTTTGAGATAGTGTCACTCTCTCTCGTTAATTTTTTTGAGATAGGGTGGATGTACAGTCACACAATCATGGCTCACTACAGCCTCAACCTCTGGTGCTCAAGTGATTCTCCCACCTCAGCCTCCTGAGTAACTGGGACTATAGGCACATACCACCACATTCAGCTAATTTTTTGTAGAGATGGGATCTCCCGATGTTGCCTAGGCTGGTCTTAAACTCCTAGGTTCAAATGATCCATCCTGCCTCAGCCTCTCAAAGTGCTAGGAATACAGGCATGAGCCACCATGTCCGGCCCAATATTATTTTAAACAAAAAGCAGGATAGCATAATCCTGATTTTATTTTTAAAAAATACATATAGGCCGGGCGCGGTGGCTCAAGCCTGTAATCCCAGCACTTTGGGAGGCCGAAGCTGGCGGATCACGAGGTCAAGAGATCGAGACCATCCTGGTCAACATGGTGAAACCCCGTCTCTACTAAAAATACAAAAAAATCAACTGGGCATGGTGGTGCGTGCCTGTAATCCCAGCTACTCAGGAGGCTGAGGCAGGAGAATTGCCTGAACCCAGGAGGCAGAGGTTGAGGTGAGCCGAGATCACGCCATTGCACTCCAGCCTGGGTAACAAGAGCAAAAAACTCCATCTCAAAAAAAAAACAAACAAAAAAATACATATAAACATGTGAACATAGGAAAAAACATAGACTAACACATGAAAAAAACAAAATGTTAACAGCAATTATCTTTGAATAAGAGCAATTTATAATTTACAGATTTTTCTATAATAAAAATTATTACTTTAGGACAACATATATTGTAGACCAGTAGTAAATAAAACAACTAACCTTTTCTGCTCTTTTGAAGACCACATTAGCATGTTGAGGAATGTTCACTTCCAAAGAGTCCCTTTTTCAAAATGGAAATAAATGTTTTATGTTGCTAATCTGAAGAATAATAATCACCCAGGATGCCAATCAAAAATAGAACTATAATCTTATACTAAATATTACAAAAAAAATACAATTTAGTGACTGAAAAGTTTTACACATATTGACCAGATTTTCTAGTCTCCATCTTAATCTCCATCTTCATTTAGCAAGGTTTAAAGTTCTAAGTTTTAATCAAGCTTATAATGAATGTACAGATTTTAGCTCAGCAACTAGTTCTAATTACATTATAATCTATTAAAAATTTGAGTTTACCTATAAGTGATTAAATCACCATATTTTAAAACATGAAAGTTATTAGTGTTTTGCTATATAGAGTAAACATTCAATGTTTAAGGTACCTTAACAAGAGCAAAACTCCTGCTTTTCCCAGAAGACGCCAAGCAACCCATTCTGCAGTTTTTCTATCAGCTTCATATGTAGCCTGTTGGCTAACAATAAAAACCAGTGGTAAGCCTAGTTGGAGATGAACAGTTGAAACTTGTTGAGGATCGTCAGCAACTTCAGTCTTCATTAAAAACAACAACAACAACAAAAAGAACAAAGTGTGATAATAATATTCTAACATTTGGATTTCAATTCTCCTAACTCTTATTAATAAAGTCGCAAGTAAAAAACAAGTCTGTAAAATAATAATCCAACACTAACAGAAATGATTTCTTAATTTCCTGAATTAAAGGCTCCCAACGTACCTATATAGTTTCATTTGTTTTTTGAGACAAAAGCTTGCTTTGTTGTCAGGCTGGAGTCCAACAGCATAATGATCACAGCTCATTGTAGCCTAAACCTTTTGGGCTCCAACAATCCTCCCGCCTCAGCCTCCCAAGTAGCTGGGACCACAGGCGTACACCACATGCCGAGCTAATTTTTTTTGTTTTAATTTTTTGTACAGTCAATCTCCCTACGTTGCCCAGGCTGGTCTTAAACTCCTGGGCTCAAGTGATCCTCCCACCTTGGCCTTCCAAAGTGATGGGATTACAGGCATGAGCGATCGTTCCTGGCCCCCTATAAGTTTAGGCATTATAAAATTAACAGATTTTATAAGAAGTTAAACCAAAAATTACAATCATAAAGAATACTATAAACAAACAAAAACAATAAGTAAAGCAATGTGGGACTAATTGATAGACATAAGTATTTCAAGGGAAATAGAACAGATAACTAAGGAATAAACTTTTTCATATAAGAATTTAACATAATATGACACATTACAAAACAATGAGGAAGACCTGAATAAAAGTAGCAAATTAAATACACACATCTAATTTCACTCCCTCCAGAACTCCCAGGAAAACTACAGCAGTGGGATTTTTCAAAAGAGACAGACAAATATACGTAAAGAAAGAAAAAGAGAAAAGGTAGCACAATTTTAGAGGTCAGAATAATAACTGACTTAGGAGATCCTACAACGCAAAACCCTAGCCATCAGAGGGAAAACTAAGACACAATTCAGTTTTAACTACAAAATCCTAAAATTGCTCAGGAACTATCAGTGTCAAGCAAGTCTGGATCTGGGAAGGAAATATTAGAAGGGAAGTGGCAGGAAGGCTCTAAAATAAAGAGGAATATGTCAAAGCTTTTGAGAAGTAGTTAGATCCCTAGATTTTCCTCCCCAGTTCTATGAGATTAAACAACTGTCACTTCCCCACACCAGCAGAAATCCAGGAACAGCTGACAGTGTGGACACCATGCTGAAAGCAGGGGGATTACGTAACCAAATGTTGAGACGTTCCCCTCACCTAAGGTCCCTTTCCACTCAGTTCCCAGAATGCCAGCAGTCAGGCCTTTGTCCTCAATTGGAATTTTTATCCTTTTTGGGGGATCTTGAGTAATCCCCAAAAGCCTGAAGATACTGACATTGGGATTCACCAAAAAGCAGGCCAGGCCTAATTACTCTATGGAGCTCTAGGCTCGGCCCTGCTCACCTCTTCAGTCTGCTTACTGCCAAAGAGACATGAACTTCTGTCACTGCTACCTGCACTTTATCCACCTTCCACCATAGATACCTCCCAGACAAGACACAATTCTCACACATTCTGTGTGTGTGAGAATGTGTGAGAATCTGGAACACTGTTGCTTGCCTCTGCCCCTTCTCCATTCTCCTCTCTTGCTGCCACCCAGGAGAGCTGGCTTTAAGGTCCATCTTAGCACTGTGTGGCATTCTCAGGACATTTGAACTAGGCAGGGAGGCGGGGTGTCATGTGGCCAGGTGTCCAGAAGGCACTGGGAAATCCTATGGGATGGTCTGAGAGGATCAGGCACATATCAGTCATGGGGCAGAAATGTCAAGGAGAGCTTACAAGGGTGCCACCTTCTCACCACTCCACCTTCCCAACCCTCCTGGGCCCAGTCAGCCAAAGAGAGTCAGAGCTATTTTGGCCACATGGCTCAAGTCTCTACGAACCCCAACTGTCTGCCTGTCAGAGACTTGCAAAGGCTCATGTTTTTGTTTTGTTTTCTCATCATTCCATTGTGATACTAAGAAATGAAGAAGATTAATGAAGAGGTCAGGCACGATGGCTCATGCCTACACTTTGGGAGGCCAAGATGGAAGGATCACTTGAGCTCTGGAGTTCAAGACCAGCCTGGGCTACATAGCACAATCCTGTCTCTATTTTTCTAAATTAAAAATTAAACAAAATTTTTAAAAAATTAATGAAAAACTAAAAAGTGAACACATGCCACTGTTACATATATATATTATATACATATTTAAAAGTCACCGAGTCTCACCAATGTTAGAATTTCCAATCAGCATTTTAGTTTCAAATTCTAAACTGTAAACAGACATCCAAGGATTAACACACACCTGAGGAAAGCCTACATGAAAAACAGAGACTAGAACACATGGAAAAATAAATAACATAGAGAAAATACAGACTACGCTGGAACAAGAAAGGTTCAGAAACCACCACAGACAACTTCAAGGAGATGGGAAGACACTGGATTCACAAAGAATTGAAAAATAAAGTTAAATAAGTCTCCCAGAAAGCACAACAGAAGTAGATGTAAGATAAAAGAGAAAAAAGGTAATAAAATTGAAGGACTAGTTAAAGAGGCTTAACATCTAAGTAATGCAAGTCACAGAAAAAGAGAAGGGAGAAAATAGAAGAAATAATCACTGAAATAAACATAAAATTTTCCTACAACTGAAGGACAAGAATTGTCAGATTCAAAGAGCCCACTGAATAACCAATAGAGTAGATAAAAGCAGATACAAACAATGATGTATTCTTCCAAACTTTGTAATAATCGAACTTTTTTTTTTCAGGCAGAGCCTTACTCTCTCATCCAGGCTGGAGTGCAGTGGCAGTATCTCAGCTCACTGTAACCTCTGTCTCCCAGGCTCAAGAAATCCTCTCACTTCAGCCCCCACCAAGTAGAGCTGGGACTACAGATGCACATCACCACAAACAGCTAATTTTTATATATTTTGTAGAGACAGGGTTTTGCCATGTTGCCCAGGCTGGTCTCTAACTCCTGCACTCAACCAATCCACTCTTGGCCTCCCAAAGTGATGAGAATTCACCAGGGATAGGAATCTTACAAACCATCTTAGAATTCTGTCTACCATAGGTAAGTATAGGATTCTCTTTGGCAATTTTTTGGAAAGAGATACATACATACATATATATATATATATACTCAATAACTTGAGTTATTAAGTACTTAAGTTATTTTGTCTACCACAGATAGAGAAAATTCTAAGATAGCCCCCAAAATTCCTACCCCTGGTAAACAAATCTTGTATAACCCCCTCCCCTAAGTGTCAGCAGGACCCATGGGGTAGTCATTCCTTTTGTTAGGTGACATTACATAGGAGTCTGTTGTAGCACACTCAAGTAAGATTCTCCCACTGGCTTTGAAGGAGCAAGCTGCATGTTGTGAGAGGGCCGTGTGGCAAGGGCTTGAGAGCAGCCTGTAGGAAATGAGAACAACCTTTGCCTAACAGCCAGCAAGAAAACAGGAACCTGGGTCTTAAAACCACAAGATAATAATTTCCACCAAAAACCTAGATGAGTGGAATATCCTGAAGGAGTAAAAACACCAGGTTTTTTCCTCACGTGTTCAGAGAACTATTAGTAATTCAGTATTATAAAGCAAAAGGAAGAATAGTCAGTAAGGTTAGAAATGTGGCAAGGGGTCAGATCGCTGAAAACCATGAATGTCCCACCAAGAAAACAGGGCTTTATGATGTAAATAAAGTGAAGCCATTTATGAATTGTATGAATTAATGATCACACATATATTTTTTAAAGATCACTGTCAGCTTTCAAAAGAGATTTCAGATGTAAAATTACATGCAAGAACATGTAGGAATTAAGAATGTTTCCCCAGATGTCTGCCATAAATAAACGGACAGTAAAATAACCAAAATAGAAAAGAAAGAACCAGTGTTGGTGAAGGACAATACCTTAATGTCACATGTATTGTACTTAAGCAGAGATACATCTAATTAAGAGTCAGATACATGGGTGGGAGCTCCAAATAAACATGTGACCTCAAAATTCAGATTTGAGAATCCATGTAGTTAATGCCACAGAAACAAATGAGGTCACTTGAGGGGTGCGCTTTGAGCAACTATCACTGTGTAGCAAAGCTCCCTAAAGCCTGGTAGCTTAAAATGATAAGAATCATTTCCTTTGCTCAAATATGTGTAAGCTCATCTCTGCTTCGTGTGGCATTAGGAGGCTATTTCAACTGGAAGCTGAATATTCTACTTTACAGATGGCTCATACGCATGGCTAACAAGCTGTTGCTATTTGAAGCTCAGCCATGGCTGTGGTCTAAGGACCTCAATTCTCCTTCTCATGGGCTTCTCCTCAGGCTGCTTAGGCTAACAACAAAATAGGGGGTTTTCAAGAATGAGCAAATAGAGAGCAAGGCAGAGGCACATCACATTTTGTGAAATATAGCCATTATTGATATATGAAGTCATGGATCATCACCTCAGTCTCATTCTGTTGGTCAAGGCAGTTATAGAAGCCCAACCAGGTTCAGGTAGAGGAGTCACAGACTCCATCATTCCACAGGCAGTGATAGGGTGACAAGATAAGGGGAGCTTATGGGATGGGAGGTACTGCTGGACTTTGTGAGTCTTGAAGAAAGAAGTGAACCTATTTTGCAGGTGGGAGGGATTACTGTAGCCATAGACTGCTCCCTGGCTATAACAACTCAAATCCTTTCCATATGTAAAGTACACACCTCTCTTCCAGACTCCTAAAGCCTCGTCCCATCAAGCTTTGAATTAAATCTGTGCACAGTTTAATGTATCATTTACGTTCAGTTCCGGGTACAGATAAGACCCTTGCATATAGCTCCTTGAAAACTATTCCTCTTAATTTGAAGACCTGTGAACTAAAGAGAAAGATCATTTTCCCCCATACATACTCAACAGACAGTGATGTGACATGTGCAGTATAACTATATACATTCCTAGCTGAAGGGGGGAAAATGAAGGCACACGATAGTCACTGGTCTATAGCAACTCTGAGGTTCACTAAGGCATATGTTGCAAGTTCCTTAACTGGGGCCTATTCCTGCTCCCTGAATTTGAGGCTCTTGGTTACAAATTCTGGGCCCTGGTCTGCCCTCCAACTCATCATTTAAAAAAAAAAAAGGAGCCTGTGATTGCAGCTGAGTAGATTTCTTAGCCTTTTCCTGACCCTAAAAATTTGGAGGAATAAAGTACATTTATCATTTTGTGCTATTTCTATCTCTAACCATACAGGTTTGTATATTTCTTTAAAAATCTTGTGGGTTTCCTAATTATGAATTTTTTTTTTTTTTTGAGACAGAGTCTCACTCTGTTGCCCAGGCTGGAGTACAGTAGCATGATCACAGCTCACTGCAGCCTCAACCTCCCCAGGCTCAGGTGATCCTCCTACCATCTAAGCCTCCCAAGTAGCTGGGACTAAAGGTGGACACCACCATGCCCAACTAATGTTTGATGTTTTTGTAGAGATAAGGTCTTCCTATTTTGCTCAGGCTGGTCTCAAACTCCTGGCCTCAAGCAATCCACCCACCTCAGCTTCCCAAAGTGCTGGGATTATAAGTGGAAGCCACTGCGCCCAGCCTAATTATTGAAGTCATAATCCATTCCATTTGACATAAAACAAAATCACAAATGTCCCTGATAGGCAGAGAAAGCCACAGGGTAGTACCATAAAAATTATTACTAAATAAAATATGTAATATAAATAGAAATTAGTATAAGATACAAAAGTGACAGAAACACTCTTGCAATGGTTTATTAATGTAGAAAAATATCAGTATTTTTCTACAATTCATGTATTACGATTAAATAACTAAAATTACTTAAAAGTTTACTTTCAAAAATGATACCAGAATAAAAAGGATTACAAGAGACTATTATGAATAATTATATGCCAGTAAATTTGATAACTTAGAAGAAATGGATAAATTCTTAGAAACATATAACCTACCAAGACTGAATCATTAAGAAATGGAAAGTCTGGGCAGAGCACGGTTGCTCATGCCTATAATCCCAACACTTTGGGAGGCCAAGGCAGGCAGATCACAAGGTCAGGAGTTCAAGACCAGACTGGTCAGCAGGGTGAAACCCCGTCTCTACTAAAAAAATACAAAAATAAACTGGGCATGGTGGCTCATGCCTTTAATCCCAGCTACTTGGGAGGCTAAGGCAGGAGAATTGCTTGAACTGGGACCCAGGAGGCGGAGGTTGCAGTGAGCCAAGATCGCATCACTGCACTCCTGCCTGGGCTACAGAGCAAGATTCCATCTTGGGGGAAAAAAAAGAAATGGAGAATCTGAACAGATCTAGAACTAGTAAGAAAATTAAATCAGTAATCAAAAACCTCCCAACAAAGAAAGTCCAGAACCAGATGGCTTCACTGGAAAATCCAACTAAACATTTAAAGAATTAATGCCAATCCTTCTTAACCTCTTCCGAAAATTTGAAGAGGTGAGAATATTTCCAAACTCGTTTTATGAGGCCAGCATTACCCTGATACTAAAATCAAAGATACTATAAGAAAAAGACACTACAGAGCAGTATGAGTAATATTCCTAATGAATATTAAGGCAAAAATCCTCAAGAAAAGCTACCAAACTGAATTCAGCAGCACATTAAAAGGATCACTCATCATGAGCAAGTGAGATTTACGCTTGCAATGCAAGAATGGTTTGACATACAGAAACTTATTAATGTAACACTGTACACCACACTGACAGAACAAAGGACAAATATCACATGGTCATTTCAATTAATGCAGGAAAAGCATTTGAAAATACTCAACATCATTACTCAGTCTTAAGAAAGACTGACATATGATATAACATGGATGAACCTTGAGGACATTATTCTAAATGAAATAAGCCAATCGCAAAAACAAATAAGGCATGACTCAGTGTATATGTGGTATCTAAAGTAATCAAACCCATACAAATGGAAAGGACACTGGTGGTGTCAAGGACTGAGGTCAAATAGAGGGGACATGTGAAGTTGTGTGTTGAATGAGCATAGCTTCAGTCACGCAATATTAAAAAGTTCCAGAAATCTGTTGTACATCAATGTGCATCAGCTAATATTGTATTATACACTTTAAAATTGTTATGAGAGTAATCTTATGTGCTTTTTAAACAATTAAAAAAGGCTCTAAAACAACCATGTTGGGAAACACTATACTATACAATATTGTACACTGCCACATAAGTTCTCTAGAACTAGAAGCTAAATGAATAAATCATAACAGCATCTAATTTCCTACATAAAAGAGTGGGTTTAATGTAATTCAAGTGTCTTGAATCTGTCTGAGACAGAGTTAGATGAACAAATAAGGTAAAAATTTCAGAGATTATTAAAAATGTATAAACTTACCCATATTTTAAAATTTTATTAGATATTTGCACTTGAGAATTCTTCTTGGGATTCAGATAAAAGCCTTCCTACTATCTACAGATATAAACTGAATCCATCATGGAGAAAATCACCAGCATTCTAAAATGTCCCTGGTATTTGCCAATAGGACAATAATTGAACCATTTTCCCAACTGTGTTCACTGCTGGGAACCTTAATAAGACATCTAAAACAACTCCATATCTGGCAGAATCTTACTTAACCGATTTAAAATTGAAATTCACTTAAAAATTCTATGCTCAAGATTTATTTTCAGTTGGACATGATCAAAATGACACACTTCCTGTCATGACTATAAGACATAGTTGCATTATGTATCTACAATAATTAGGTGTTCCAGTACCCTGTTTACCTAAAGGAAAAAAAAAAGCAATAAACATACATACACAAAAAAAGCAATCTGCATCTATTTTCATATGCTTAGAAGTGAAATAATAATACATATAATTGCAATGATCAGACACAAAGCAGTTTACGAAAAAGTCTGAATCTTACTTTTCATTTTTATTAGTTTATAAACAGACTTTGTAAACATGTCAAATTATTTCAGATCCTGAACCCCAAAACCCAGGCTAATTTGCAAAGCATCTAACCCCACAAAACCCAACCATGATTGAACCCCAAGGGTTTTTATATAGAATAATGTCTACAATAACAGGGGGAATGAGCTTCGGTGGTACTAGGAAAGAATAAGAATAAAGCAAGAAACATGAATTCAAAGTGAACAGTAAAGTCAGCTACTAACAAGAACCTGTAAGCAGTCATCATATTTAGGTACCAACCTTTGGGACCTCTCTATCTCATTCCAGTTAAGTATGCCATCACAGGCTATAACCCAATTACAACAAATTTTGGCCTAAGAGGTGTTTCCTATAAAAGTGTTTGGCATTACTCAGGTTTTTTTTTTTTAACCTTAAATGTATTATTTAAGAACAAAAAACAACCTCAAAAACTGATAAGGTCAAATGTTTAAAGTACTAAAACATAAAAGTGACCAAACCAGTTGAGGTTCTAACATCTTCCTAATTCTACTAGGGGAAGGCCTTCGCTATCCTCCAATAGTCTCAAGGAATCTTTCAAGGCTTTGTCTTCTTTTCTGTACTCTGCATTCATTTACTCTGTTCTAGTCTATGAAAGTCCACTAATCTGTGCGTCTAGGCCTCCCTCTGCCAAGTATTTGTAGGCTGACATCAAGGTTTGAATTAACACCTTAGCTTTCCAATCTGGCACTGATCTTCCATTCAGCCTTTCAGATCTTTCTTGGCTTCATACTACTGGTCATTCCTACCTATTTCTGTGTCTGCCCGAGCTTCTGGAGCCTCTGCCTGAATCCTATATTCCAGTTCTCTGTCCAGGGGAAAAAAAGTTCAAACAAATAAAATTTTCATGCACTATTCTGTGAAAGCAAACTTCACTTCAGATTTTGATTAACAATTTAATATTCCTTTGCGTGAACAGTGGTTAGGGCAGGGTCACCTGCACTGCACAATTCCAGGAAGTACCATTCACATTATATTTCATAAAATGTGTTTCAAGGGGCTGTTGTTCATACAGAATACAATATAAATGATGTCCTTCATTTTTTGCCATGTTATGCTTCCAAGTGAAATCACCCTTAATTGAAGTCATTATGATCAAAGCAGTCATAAAAGAGGTCTTTTCGTAACCATGACATGGTCTTTGTGATCTGTGAGTACTCGCCAAAACCCAGAGTTCATTATTACTACCACAGAATAGTTTCACTTACACAATTCTATAATTGGGTTTCAATGCAATAATATGTAAAGACATTAAAATGTCATTTAATGGATAGTCTATCTTCTATTATACCTTTTATAAGGAATTATTCCTAAATCCCTCAAAATGAAAGAAAAACACTCAAAAAAGGGAAAAGATAACTAACTCATCTAAGTGAACATGCATCTATAAATCAAAACTTAATAAATTTTATGTATAAATTATCTACTATATTAAAATAAGACACATAGCTTTTGCAATTATACAGACAGTAGAAAACAAACATATAAAGACACATACCCACAGAGGTGCCTTCATTATCTTAATAAACAGGTGAATGTTCAGTGTAGTCAATGGCTGTTCCATTAGTGTTCTTCTACATTGCTGGGTCAAGTCCAAGACTAGTTTACAATGAAAAAAGTAGAGACGTGCATATTCCACATCCTCAGAGCTACAAATTAAAAATTAATTAACTTAATGAAGTTCAATGTGTGATCCCTTTACCATCCAAAAAGATGTAACGATAAATTTTGTGTTAAGTCTCTTGCTTTTGATTATTATTTTAGTAAAAGCCTGAAAGAGTATAGCATTAAAATTAAATGAACTTGGGCAAAAAAGAAGATATAGGAAATTAAAGTAAATTAACCTTAATATGAGTTGTATAAACAATTTTTATACAAACAATTTTTATATAAGGTTAATATTAGAGTAAATTAACCTTAATATGAGTTGTATAAACAATAAACCACATGAGTTGTATAAACAATTTTTTTCCTGAACTTTTTAATATGGTAGTTTCTAAATTATAATAGGTTACAGGCAGGCTTATAACCTTTTTTCCATAAAAGGCTGTCACCTTGTGGACAATGAGATTATCTTTAAATATAGTTGCTTTTCTAGAGCTATGCTAAATAAGGCTTTGTAACACAAATTTTCTATATTTAATTTAAACCCAAATCGGTTTTGAATAAACTTCAGCCAAAACATTCTAAAATAGAAACCATGTGACAATTTGTGGGAGTTTGTGAGTTTGTATCTGAAATATTACAAAACTCAGCAAACATGGCTTATGATTTGAGCTTTGGCATTCCCTTCAGTATGAGAACTCAGAGATAAACTTATAGTGGAGATAAGGTTTGCCAAAATTAAAATAGCATTTTAGAAATATCCATATGGCATTAGTAGGGTTTGGCAAAATACTACAAAATTTTATTTTTGAAATGCTATTTTAATTCTTGAGACATATTTAAAGTGAGCTTACAAGGTTCACTGATTTCAAATTTAATTACAAAGTAATTTCTAATCAATTCAACGATTAAAAAAATAGTCACTCAAAGCTTTACTTAATCCCTACTATGTGTTAGGCCCTATGCAAAACACAACAGATAAAGATAAATAAAACAATTACATCCTTGAAGGAGATATATTTAGCAAAACAATTAAAATGGAGTTGGTAAGTGCTATAATATGTAAAAATACTATGAGGAACAAGGAAATATTTTCTTTCTGCTTCAAATTAGGAAGGAGAAGGAAGGAGAAAAGGCAGACTGTCTCAGAGCTTAAAAAACAAAAAGGAAAGCATGACCTCTCCAATCAGACAGGACAAATAAGCATTTCAAACAAAAGTTAAGATGCAATGAAAGCATATAACTTATTGAGGGGATTCCTGAACAGTCACATACTGCTGAAAGTAAAGTGGTGAGTGCAGAAGGTCCTAATAAGTAAGGCTGGACTTCACATTGCAGCCTTGAAACAAAAGAATAATGTTAGAAAATTATTTTATCAGGGATCATATTTGCTTGCAGATAACAGAAAACAAAACTAGTGAAACTTATTTGAAGTTTACAACAAAATCTCACAGAATATAAGGAAAATTCAAATAATTGGATCAGAGAAAAGTCAGAAGATAAATGTAGAGACCTGAACAGCAGGAGTTCAGGAAACTTCACCTTGCCATTAACACTTTTCAGTTACCAATTCAGTCTCGGAAGACACCATTCTGTTTTACTTATAAGTGAGCAAAACATTCCTGTGAGCAAGACAGCTACCATGTTGTATAATCCAGTTTTTCCAAGTCCAATCTAAGTTCCTGGGAGATAGGATCTCTCATCTCTCATTTGCTCAAGTAAACCGATGGACTGGCTGGCCCTAGGTCAAATGCCCACCTCTGATTTACTTGATTGTGATATGGATGGGGCATGGATAATACCCTTCTTGGCCCATAGATTCTTTAGGAAGGGAATATACAGAAGTAGCAGAAAGTACTGGAGTCTAAGGCATGCTATCTCTTTTACTACCTATCACAGGCACCTTTCTTAACTGACATATAACTTCAAACACACTCAGATTGAATATGATACAGCAATTAATATACTAGCCTGAACTGATATTATAATGCCAGAAACTAGCATAGCATCTACATTACACAGAAGGCATTCAATAAATATTTGCTGAATGAAAGAACTAACAAGTGAAATTCACTTCACTCCTATAAGGAGACAACCCAAATAGCCAACTAGTTTATCCAGAAGTAACATCACGGCACCACTGTATTCAGAATCCATAATCTTTCCCTGTCACCTCAGGTCCAGGGATGACTCATCACCATCTTGTTATCCATGAAGAAATGATAATCGAAACTTCCCCAATACATCATATACTCATGAAAATGAAAAACAGGATAAGAAGCAAATGAAAAACAGGGTAAGAAGATAACTGCATTTTTAAATTCCCATTTAAAAAATAGGAAAACAAAAAAAAACTTACACAACAATACCATGCTTTAGTCTCAGAATAGATATACATATTCTGTGTGTGTGTGTGTGTGTGTGTGTGTGTGTGTGTGTGTGTGTGTAAATAGACTATATATACACATATACTATATATATGTATATGTATAACTTACTGAACAGGATGTGTAAGGTAAACAATAGGACCTATACCTTGCCAATAAATAACCACCTCTTTATGTTTTAAGCATATCACCATTCACCATTATTTGCAATTATTCATTAACTAAAAAATATAGAAGCTGGTAACACAGAAGAATACAAACAACTAACCCTCAGAGAAACTGTGGGGCTAGCATGCAATCACTGTGGTATGGAGAATAACAAGGCTTCCCCCAATTCCAGAATGGGAAATCAGCAGAATAGACAAACAGTGAGCATGCATCCATTTTATTTAACTCATTAATGAGAGAACCAGCAGAATGAGACAGGTAAATAAGGAGAGACTAATGGAAAAAGGAATGCTGGTTACTGTCATGCAGATCAATAACAACATAACTTCTCTTTGTAGAAACTTTTTTCTCTGCCTACTACCATTCCCTCAAAAGTTATTACATCTTATCAGTTTGCTATACACTGGCCTCTAAATGTAGAGCTGTAAAACATCTTGGCTTTAAACATTTGTGTGTGGCATATCATATAGCTGCTATTTCCTGAGAGGTCAGCAGGAGGGCTCATTAAAAACTCTTGGATGGCATTAAAAGGTCATACAATACCATTTTGCCCTGTTTTGGATTAATTTTCCTGAAGAACATTTTGAAGTCAAAAAAAGAAAGAAAACTTGAACCCTAGGTAGCCAGCCAAAAAGAATGCAAAGTAGGCTTCTACCTAAAATTGTAAACTAGACAAGAAAAATAAACATTCAAACATTCTGTTCAAAAACTTTACTTAAATACATTTAAGATTATTATGACAAAGTAATTTATAAAAGACTCACAAAGAATTTCTGAAGCTTCATTTTGAAAGCTGTTATTTTTACCCCCTATTTGATCACTGTAGGAGATACATTTCTAAGATATCCCACTTGATCACTTGCATCTTGTGGCTTAACCATACCGCCTTCATTACCTTAGTCTAACATGAATTCTGTATTTTTTAAGACTGTAATACAGCAGACGACAGTAATAAAGAGGATTTCAGGCTACATTCATATATTCACATCTGCTATGATTCCTTCATATAAGCCCATGCTGTGGGAATATAATGGAAATGCTAAGTAATGTGAAAAAAATGAGCAAGGAAAAAAAACTTTAAATTGTTGACATGTGCTTTTTATACATACCCAATACTTTCCAAAAGGGCAATTTCTGTGGTTAAGACAAATTGGTATGTAGTCCCATAAACAAAAGCGGCTTCCATGACTGCTCTGTGCTCTGAAGAAGAGATGAAAGGAGTTGGGAGACAGAAAGAGTTAGCTTGTGTGTCTCTATGTAAACCTCTATTCTGAATATTATCCTACACTCTTTTATGTTCTACTATATTTAAAGAAAAATACTTTGCAGATAAATGCAGGCAGTTAAAAGAAGTTATAGAAAGTCTATTCTGTTAAAGGTAAAAGAAGAATTCAGAGGGAATAGAAAATGAGCTTTTACTTGAGAATATAACATACAACAAATTTGTGGTAGTTTCTTTCTAGTAGTAGGGAAGAGAATATGAATCCATCATACAACTTTCATGTCAGGTTTTATTTGTGTATGTGTCTGTGTATATTAGTTGTGGGTTAGTTTTCTAAATCAAACTTATACTGAAAGAAAATAATTTTACAAGGCATATTAAGAAAAACGGCCATTCCCCTATCCTCTACTGCATTTCCAATTCCCAAGGAACAAGCACTTTCAACTCTATTTCTTATTTATTTCAATTCTTGTTTCTTTATATATATACACACACACACACACACATATACATACTTTATATATATACATATATACGTATATATACATTTTATATATATGTATATACATACTTCATATATATATGTATATATGTATATACATACTTTATATATATAGATGTATATACATGTATACATACATATATACGTATATATACTTTATAGTGTATATATACATACTTTATATATAGATGTATATACATGTATATATACATACATATATACGTATATATACTTTATAGTGTATATATACATACATATGTATACTTATGTATGTATATATGTATATACACTTATATATGTATATATGTTTATATATACTTATATATGTATATATGTATATGTTTATATATACTTATGTATGTATATGTATGTTTATATATACTTATATATGCATAAGTATATACATAAATATACATATACATGCATATATAAGTATATACATACATGTATATAATGTATGTGTATACACACATATACATATAAATATGTATGTATACATATATATGCGTATACATGTATACATTCATATATATAAGTATACACATATACTTATATATAATGTGATATGTGTATATATATAAGTATATATGTATATAAGTATATATATTTCTATTCTGAATAGAATATTATATATTCTATATATATACTTATATAAGTATATACATACTTTTATACATATGTGTGTGTGTGTGTGTGTGTATATATATATATATATATATATATATATATATGACATTACTATTATCTGTTGCCTTCCTACTGTGGAAGATGATAAACTAGTTCTCTTTTCTGAAACTCAGCTCCACAAATGTAATCATGTCCCATCCCAACTCTCTCAATACAGTTCTAACTATTATTACATCAACATCCAGTATTTATTTTGTTGACTCAGTAAATATAATTTACAGTTAAGCCACTTTCCCTTTTTGAGCAACTTCTTCACTATAGTTATAACTATCTTTTAAAAAAATTTGTTGACTTTTTTCCTAATTTCTTCCTAAACTCTTCCATAACTGTCTAACTCTCTGAAGACTTCAAATATATCAAGTATACTATCAAATCCATCCTCTTGTAAACATTTCTGCAGAGTCTTCTTATTTGCCCCAATATGGACTCTTGCTGCTTGGCCTGCTGCACAATTGCCATCCTGAGGATTCTCTTATTCCCTCTCTTGTGTTGGGTCCTTTTGCCTGTTATCCAATATTGCCTTCTTTATCGCTTCCTTGTGCCCATTATCTAATGCCTTCCTGTGAGAGGACATATGGAATAGACAACTTTTGCAGCCCTGAACATCTGAAAGTGTCTTAATTTTATTTTCACAACTAACTATAGTTGGCTGGGCACAGAATTCTAGGTTCAAGTCATTTCCCCTGAGAATTCTGAAAACACTGCTCCATTTCCTTACATTTCTAGTGCAGCAATTTAAGAAGTTCAATGACATTCTGATTCTTGATCCTTGAACTGCAAACTCTTCTTTCACCTCTGGAATATCTTAGAATAGTCTTTTTAACTAATATTCTAAAATTTCAAAATGGGATGTCTTAGTGTGTCTCTGTGGTCATCCACTATGCTGGGACTTGATGGGTCCTTTCCATCTGGAAGCTCAAATCCTTTAGTTCCAGGAAATTTTCTGGAAGTATTTCTTTGATGATTTCTACTTTTCATATTTTATTTCCCCCTTTATCCTCACTGTCATTTCCAGACAATAATTTTCCCATTTCCCACATATTCCCCTAGCACTTGAATTTCATATCATCAGATTATTCCACTCACCACCCCACCTTAGAGTCACCCACCACCCTAGCCAGGATCACTCCCTGTCATTCATGAAGAATTTAGCCTTTGTCACACCGTCTCTCTTTCTAACACTACTCCTGTCATAATCCTTGAGAATTTTATAATCCACATAGACAATCCTTTCAATCCTAGCCTCTCATGCGTTGGCCTTCTTAACTCCAGTCACCTTTCTTCAATCATATCTTAACCACTAACTCTACATCTTGTAATTGCCAATTACTGCAATCCCCTCCATAATCTCCATATCTAGCCTCCTGCCCCACACAAACACACAACTCCAGCTCACTCTGTTTAGCACACAATTCTAACCCAGCAGGACCTACAATCCATAGGTCTTCCCCCTCTGATCTCTTTCCTCCTTAATTAGGAGGAAATTTCCTGGGCAATCTTTGTAATAATTCCCCTGCCCTATCTTTTAGGTTCAAAAATACAATCCAGGTTAAGTCAGTGCTCTGCCTGTTCTATACTTAGAGCTGCAAAAGGTAACATAGCTAGGGAAAGTGGGAGGGAAGCCAAAACAAGCTAGCATCACCGTGCTAACGGTATCACTTTAAATTGCTGATATTAACTATTATTGCTGCCTAACAACCACTCTTTATATCCAGGCCTTGGAAATAACTCTCTCAACTCTTCTCTCAAACTAGCTGAAGATTTTTATCTTTTTCACTGAGAACAAAGAACCAATTAAAAAATAAACCAAAAACCTTTATAAACTCTTAGCACCATATTTACCCACTTGGCTGCATGAATGTCCATATTTTCTCATCCCTCTGGTTACCAGAGATGAAGCTTCTGTGCTCCCACCTAAGAACAACCCCTGCCCTTGTTGGCTAGATTCCATCCCCTCTTGCCTACTCGAAAACTTTACTCCAGCAGTTCTCCCCTTTTTCCTACGTGAGGCATTTCCCCTTTTCTACTGGATCTTTCTTGTTAACATATACATATGCTTTTTAAAAAATTCTTCTCCTAACCCCATGTATTCTTCCAGCCAGTGCCCCATTTTTCTCCTTCCCAAAAGCAAAACTTCTCTAAGGAGTCTCTGTATTCACAGTCTTCAATTGCGCTCTACCTATTCTGTTTTATACCCCTCCTATTAGGCATACAGACACTGCTTGTGAAGGTCACCAGTAACTTCCACATTGCTAAGCATAATGGCCACTTGCCACTTCTGATCTTAATCAACCTTTCAGCATCATTTAACATAATCGTTCCTGCTTTCTTCCTTAAAACTCTATTTTTACCTTGCTTACTGGGCACTACAACATTCATTCTGTCTCCTTTACTGGTTCCTCCTTACCGTACTAATCCGTAAATGTTGAAGTATCTAATAGGTTCAGTCTTCTCTTTTTCATCTAGACTCACTCAGTGATCTCTTCTGGTCTCACAGCTTTATTTCTCACATTTACATTCCTAATCTGTTCTCCCAACATAAAATGCAGTCTACTAATATCCAACTACCATGTTGATATCTCTACTTGAATATCTCCTGGGTATTTCACAAGGATGATGTCAAAAAGTGAATTCCAGGAGCTTCCTCAACAGACTATCTATTTCCAGTCTTTTGAACCTCAGATGCTATCAATTTCACCTTTCAAGTAGCTCAGGCCCAAACCCCAGAACCACCCTTGTGTCATTATTTCTCAATCTATATCCAATGGATGAGCAAACCCAGTTAGCTTTACTTTCCAAACACTGCTAAAATTCAAATTTGTTGCCACCTCCATTGCCGTCACCCTAGTCCAAGCCACCCAGCATCATCTCTTGCTTGATTTATTGCAATAACTTCCTATTTTTCTCCCTTACTCTACCTTTGCTCCTTCCAGTCTAAGCTAGTCAACATTATATATTGAATACTGGTAACTGCTATGCCAGGTACAGGAGTACTAAACGGAAACCAAAAAGAAATAGCTAACACTTTCAGAGCACCTATTATACTCCAGAAACCATTTTAATTATTCAAATTCATTTGATTCGCACAATAACACTAAGGTAGGCACAATTTATTTTCCCCATCGTAATCACTAGGAAACTGCAGTTAAGTAACTTGTCCAAGGGCTCACTACAAGTAATCAGTTTGGCAGCTCGTCTAACCTAGAAAGTCCATGTTCAACCTCCCTCTATATTATGCTGCCCATTTAAAGAAAAACAGCCTAATAGTAAAGATGCTTTAGATTTATTTTAAATATTAAGAATGTAGTCAGAAAACACACTATTTTAAGTACTTCAACAGACGTGAGTACAGAGGCACAGCAAAGATTAAAGCAAAAGTTAAGGAATACCTGGTATTCCAATGGCTCTTACATATGAGAATACAATATTTGCTTTTCCTTTCAGAGCATTTTCTATGTTTTGAAGGTCTTCCAGGTTGGTAATGTATTTCACTTCATTAAAAAGAAGAGCACTGAAATAAATACAGATATAATTAGTAGAAAAATCTGATATCTAGTTGCACCACACTTCTTTTAACAACCTAACCAAAAGAGAAACAGATATCCATTGAACAAATTATTAGTAGCAATAACGTAAGCATTTTAATAATACTAGATTAGAATCACTCTCCAGATCTTTACTCTGTCTCTGAGAACATCAACCATGGACAGTTGTGAGAAATGGTATTCTCTATGACAACAGTCTCAACAGATTAAAACTGCATTCGCTAACATCCTAGTCTAGCCAAATAATCCCACACAGATCTCTCAGCTTGAACACATTTAAGCCCTTCACATACCTAAACAGCAGGCTTCTTTGCATGGCCTATAAGGTCCTACACGACCTAGACCTTATCTATCTCTCCAACCTCATTTTGTTCTACCATTCTTCATGTTTACAACATTCTAGGCAAACCTCAGAGCCTCTGCACACATTCTTCTTTGCTGGAAGCTATTCCTTTTGCTCCATTTCATAAATATGATCTCAGATTAAACATCGTTGCCTCAGAGAAGTCTTTTCTGTTGGTCCTATGTAAGTAAGCCTATAGCATTTTCCTCTCATTTCACTAGTTGATTACTTATAGTACTTATTACAATTTATAATTATCTATATATTTATTTTCTTGTTTATCCCCACCTTGTTTATTAAATCCTCATGCCCTTGAGGCAAGGATCTTGCATATTTTATCACTATACCTGTAAAAACTTATAATAGTGCCTAGTGCACTGTAGATATTCAATAAATATTTGTTGAATGGATGAAAGAAAAAGAGGGTAGGAATTATTTACTCCCATTCTTTATTTGAAGAAATGGAAGTTCAAAACACTTAAAAGCTTACCCAAAAACACATTTATTGGATCAAGAAGCTAGGGACAGAATACAAAACAGGTGTTTTCAATCCTAGTCCACTAATCTTTCCACTAGACCGTAATTCTTCTGAATCATCCTTTCAATGTATAAATCAGACCGACTGATCTTATTTCTTCATCCAAAATTATCCCTTTTTAAAAGTTGTCTACTTATGTATAAATTCTCTATTCCTAACAACTCATTCCACTTAATCCCCATGTGCATAAGTGTACTTTTTTGATAGGCTAAACTTTAAAACTTTTTGAAAATGTTTTAAAATTTTCATGTTGCAGATCCACATACTTAAATAAACAAAGGTTCACTCAAATACTTCAAATAAATTAGTCAAACAAAGTTTCCTCTTAAAGTTTTTCCTAATACAGTAGTTCTCAAACTTTTTGGTCTCAGAAAACTTACATCCTTTAAAATTATTGTGTTCCTCAAGGAACTTTTGTTTATGTAAGTTATCTTTACCCATAGTTGCCAAAATAGAAATTAAAACAAAAATTTAAAAATATGTATCAACTCTTTTAAAAATAAACACCATTACATGTTAACATAAAAACTTTATTAACTCTTTTAAAAATAAACACCATTACATGTTAACATAAAAACTTTCTTAAAAAAAAAACAACTAAAATTTCCAAAATCAAAGGAACACTTAGTGAGAAGAGTGGTATTGTTTTATATTTTTGCAAATATCTTTAACATCGGACTAAATAGAAGACAGCTGGATTTTCATTTCTGCTCCTGTATGCAATCTGTTGTGACATCACACATCAGGTAGCCTCTAGAAACCCCATTCATGAGAGAATGAAAATGAAAAAGTCAAATAATGCCTTAGTATTACTATAAAAATATTTCCATTTAGTGGGCACCCTGAAAGCACTGCCCTAAATTACACTGGCTTAAATATTTACCCATTCATTACACATTTCTTCCACTTTTTAAAAGAAATGTAAAACTTGATCTTCTATCATTCCCAGGGCTGTTTTGTTTTTATAAGAAATATGTACTGGGCAGTATTCATTATGTGCTAGATATTTTCCAGTTTTCATTTAACCTCTCAACAATACTTGTGCAACATTATTACACACATATTCACACACAGGCAACAATCTGAGAGACTAAGTAACCTACTCTATATCATACTTCTAACTGCTGGTAGAGCGTCTGACATCAAGGCCAGGATTTTCTAAACTATATTACTGACCACTCATAAAAATGGGAAACCAGGTGGAAAGCTTGCAACTAAAGAATGGCAATGGAGTCTCAGTGGCAAGCTGGGCTATTGGCTGCCTATACATTTTAGCTAGCCAGTCCAGAATCACCCTTCAGTTACTTCAAAACAGTTGAGAGGTACAATCTAGTAAGTTTAATTGGACTACCATATAAATTCTAGGCTTGGAAATTACATTCACCTAGTAATGACTTTTATTGTTTTACTATCTCCAATCCATTTGCTTCAAAAATTAAGTCTGAGTATACAACAATCCCTAACCATTGTTTGCAATAAAGACTGGCAAATATTTATTAGGTACTTACCACATGCCAGGCATAGTATTAAGCACTTTATAAGTAGTGGCAATTTATCAATTTGGGGAGATGTCAACTCCCTTTTGCTTTGTCCAGTTTTCTACGTCTTCACAGTAGGAGAGCCCAAGTGAAAGCTGATACTATCATAACCTTGCTTTCCCAGGCTCCCTGTTACAAAGCATGACTATCTGACAAAGAATCACCTGCCTGAGATTCTGAAGCAGGAGCAAGTGATACCAACAACAAGCCACGTTAAGAATTATTTCAAGAAGCAGTGGCAGTAACAGCTGGCTTCAAAGGTAGCAATGACAAGTGTTAGTCACAGCCCCAGTGCAAGGGATGCAAGCTGTAGCATCCAATGCTCAGCAATAATGCAGCTGTCCTCCTCAGACTCAGTCTGTGTCATAATTTTCACTGTAATGCAGAGCTGTCTAACCTTTGAGTCCAGTTCTCCAGCCCTTCTAGCAAGGTTGAGATTTCCTATATCCACTCCAAATCCTTTTCTGCTTAAGCCAGTCAGACCCAGATTCTAGGGCTTATAACTAAAAACCCTCAGCAATGCACTATGTCTTATTTAATTTTCATGGCAACCAACTGAAAGCAGTACCATCATTAACCCCATTTTAAAGATAAGGTCATGGGGCTTAAAGAGGTTACCCTGCCTAATGTCCCAAAGCTCATTAAGTAGTCATTATCCATGACATAATAATAACCAAAACTAATGACATTCATAATTTAATGATCTCTATGATTTTTCCCAATGGCTTCCTCACTTTAATATATTCCTTAATACATTAATTTTCAGAATATGAGAATCCATTCCACAGCCTTTGCTCCTTTACTCCATTTCCAAAGAGGAGAAATACTGACAAAAATGGGTTAAAGGAAAAGTCTCTCTTGAGATTTTCTTGCTCTGTTGATGGGGTAAAACAGCCTGGGGCTGCTCTAACTACAGTTCTTCCTGTATAGACCCTCCTTTTCTTTGGCATGCTTTTCCTGAGATTTCTCTGCAATAACTACTAGGTAGGTAAGATATCTGGCCAAAAATTGAGTGGGTGTCAGAAAGAAAAACAAAGGGTCTATCTGACCGTACTTCTAGAGCAGCAGGCAACTCAGTATTTTTTGAGATAGGGACAATTTTTGTAGTACATTTCTGTCATCATTTGAATTCTCAGAATCCAATAAAAAGGAAAATGTAAATGTTTTAGCATACCAAAATCCCCAGAAAAAAAAAGAGAGAGAAAGAAATTACTTTTAACCAAATTAATAACTGTATACTATGTCTGGGCAGATTCACATACAAAAAGAAATATCCCAAAGTCTTTTATTAAGTATTTTCTAAATTAACACAGATTAAAAACAAGCCAACAGGTAGAAGCCACCTCTTAAGAGTACAGTAGGCCGGGCGCGGTGGCTCAAGCCTGTAATCCCAGCACTTTGGGAAGCCGAGGCGGGTGGATCACGAGGTCAAGAGATCGAGACCATCCTGGTCAACATGGTGAAACCCTGTCTCTACTAAAAATACTAAACATTAGCTGGGCATGATGGCGCGTGCCTGTAATCCCAGCTACTCAGGAGGCTGAGGCAGGAGAATTGCCTGAACCCAGGAGGCGGAGGTTGCGGTGAGCCGAGATCGCGCCATTGCACTCCAGCCTGGGCAACAAGAGCGAAACTCCGTCTCAAAAAAAAAAAAAAAAAAAAAGAGTACAGTAATAAAGTTGGCAAATAACAGTCTTAGTCTTCTGTCATAAATTATATGTTCTCCTATTAACTTGCTTCTTATAAAACTGTAATTACCAGCAACAATTTTATGAGCTTAAAACTTAAGAGGATTTTGTGGTCTTCTCATTTTTAACAACCAAAAAGTGAAAGTTCCAAATTCATCATCCACAAATCCAATATTTTAGCACCTAATATATGTCATGTACCACGTATGTACTGGTAGGAGCACTTTGTCTAAAAATTCACAGTTTGGAGATATAATCATTAATACCAATTAACAGAGCTGTGAGGAATTCAAATCCAAGAAAAGCATTTTTTTTCTTACACTTTCCCAGTAAAAAGCACTGCATTTTCAAACAGGAACCCACCTGACAATATTGTATAGAAACAAATCTGATATACACAAAAGAATGAGCAATAGCATAGGCACAGTTTAGGAGTTTTAGAGGAAGACACTTCTAAAACTAACTTTCCCCAGAGGTTCTACAGTAACAATGCCTAAACACTCAATCCTTACACTCTGCAATAACATGTTAAAGAATAAAATACCAGTAGAAACTATGACAGTTAAAAATAATTCTTCTAATATTTGAAGTTCATATTATGAGTAGTATATTCAAGGAAAAGGAACTTCTATTTTCTGACAAAATACAGTATTGTCACAAGAAGTAGTACCATATCTCAATAAAGAGTTAATGAGATTTCACTTTCTTTTCTTTTTGCATCATTTGATGATTTTTTTTTTCTTTTGCAACTTTTGATTGATTTATTTTTTTTTTTGGAAGGTCTTGCTCAGTCACACAGGATGAGTGGCAAAATCATAGTTCACTGCAGCCTCGAACTTCTGGGCTCAAGCCATTCTCC